TTACCATATTCACATGTATATCTAACTATCTGTTATGTTCTGTGTGTGTAACATGGAGACTACAAACTTTCCTGCCCTATGGAATAAAGTTCCTGAGTTTTGTCTCCATGTGATGAGTCCAGGTTTTGTCAACAGTGCCAGTTCAGATCAATATAAATGGGGGAAGAACAGGGCTGTGTTAAATATATAATGTTGCTTCTTATACTGCAAAACTTGGAAATTAGATTACATGGCTCAGAAGGTAAACATTTATTTCTTACAAATAGTTTTTAGAAGACTTGTTTTCAAGGTGAAAAAAAAATGACTTCAAATAAACGTGTGCAGGTCAGGCCTTGTGAGGTGACATTGCTGTCTCCATCTGTCATTACCTGGTGTAGGAAGCTTCTATACATAATTGAAGAACACTGATTTTAACATTTTATTATCGTAAAATTGGAAGTATAAGGAAATGTCGTGCCTATTTTCCACTTTTATTTCACTGCCTCTACAAATTAGCAAATTCTTCCAAAGACAGCAGAACTAATGACAAACTACATAATCATCACTAAAAGCCAAATTAGCCCTAATATCTTTCTAATTTCAGCAGCACCCACCACTAGAAGCAAATAAGGTATAGCCATAGACTGGCTATAGCACAACACTTGATCATAGAAACTGTGCAAGTCCATAGGCTGTATGATCATGTATACTAGTTAAGATAAGAGTGCACTAAAGGAAATTCAGGTGCAACAGCAGTAATTGTATATGGTGAAAATAAAAGACAAGCAGCTTCTCCCGTCAGACTGCACCTCTGTGCTGTTTATATGCATAATACAGTATAATGAGCAAAATAAAACAAGGTAACTATAGATCACATAGAAACTCTGCAAGATAAAATACAAGCCTTCAATAAAGAGTAAATTATGTCTAAATGAGAGAAAAAGTCCTTAATGGCTCCAGAGGTTACTGAATCAGCTGTAGCTGTAATTTCCAACTTGTGGTGTGACCCAGTGGACTGGGACTCTGCTGCAGATGGCTGATCCAAAGCTGTGACACCAAGTGGTCCTTCATGTCCAGGTGAAACATCTTTGTTTGCAGGGGGGAGGACAAGTCAGTGGGGAAAAACAGTGGAGCTTGCGTTAACCTCAAACACCTCTAGTGTAGACTTTAGTCCCTAATAGGCAGCTGAGCGGGAGCCAGGAGACTGAGCATGGGGCAATAACAAACACAGGGACAGACGGGAACACTTGAAACACAGGGAAGTGAAAGAACAAAAGGAGACACTATAGGAAAACACTGATAACAATCGCAATAATCACCATTCACTCCCTGGTCAAATGACATCGGCAGTGATGCAGGTAGTGTCCTAGCGGATAGCGGATGTCTATCAGGCCTCAACGTTACATCCATATGTGTGTAGTAATAATACCATACTAGGTCTGCCGATTTATAGCTGCGCTGTTATGTTTTACATAGCACACAAACACTGTAAACACACACCTGTCACCTGCCCAGCATTGTGCTATTACCCAGAAACACAGCTTCTACACCTTATTTTTACAGTTTATACACACAGCCCACAGCAGGGTTAATTGCCGCATTTAAAACCTGCATGTACCGACAGTAAGGTAACTCACTCATGTCAGCTACAGTTAGCCTAATATAGCTAACTTGCTAATGTTATCATATTTTACCTGCTGTACTGTCCGCTGATTTCTCGTCAGATGGATAGAATTCCTTTCACTGTTGACTTTGTGTGTGAGGCCACATGGACAGAAATGCTGTACACTTTTAGTTATGGTATTATAAGGTATTATATTATGGTATTATAAATGATAGTCTTCCCTCCAGTCCTGCTCACTTCAGAGAATCATATAATTGAAGCCCTAGTCAGTCCTCTGAAAAGCTTCTAGGTTAAGACGACATTGGTGCAATAGTCTGTATATCCTAGGCTAATATGGAATTTTTATGCATTTATTTTTTATCTATGTCTTTCCTTGTATTGTGTACTGTATGATGTGTTATATGGACCTGTGTCTGCAATAAAGTTATTATTATTCCTCTGCTTGCTTTCATGGCAGTGTGCTGGCAGTCAGAGCTCCCCCTGCAGTCCATAAAGTGCCTCTGCGCCTCAGCCGTTCCAAACCAGCAGCCTTTGGGTCACACCTCCTTATTTGCATACACAACTCAATCCCCAAATCCCCCAATCCTAAATGGCTAAATGACTAAATGCCCAATCCTAAATACAAAATGCCCTATCCTAAATATCAAAGCCCCAATCCTAAATGGCTAAATGACTAAATGCCCAATCCTAAATACGAAATTCATTTTCGACTTCGACTTTTAGTTTTTGACTTCAACTTTTAGTTTTTGATTTCGACCTTTAGTTTCCGATTTAAACTTTTAGTTTTCGATTTAGACTTTTAGTTTTAGTTCTGACCCAATAATCCCTCCATACGAGGGAGCAAGGTGGCTGCAGGCGCCGAGTCCGGCAGCCGCAGTTGCTTTTCCCCAACTGCACCAAGTTGGAACCACACTATTGCCTGGTCTCGCGGTATTTTTCTTTGCAAATTCCGCGAGATCAGTCATTGATCTCAGCTCGCAGTAAGCTGCTGCAGGTAGAATGTGTCCGACTTGACAGTGCCGTTTTTATACCCCGCCCCTGCAGTCACCTGCAGCTCACGAAAGTCAGCCGCCGTCATATATATATATATATATATATATATATATATATATATATATATATATATATGTTGTATTTGCAACTTTTCTGCTGCCCCCAAGTGGCCAAATGATGAGGAATCTTTTCATTACAAAACATTGAATTTCATTCAATAATGCAGAAGTTAAATCCCCAACTCAGGGTTATAGAATATATTTTCTTATAGGTACACTCTTATTGTTAATACATAACGTAAGAATTTTGCCATGAAGAAATTAATTTAAAGTTGCAAGCTTATCTCTCTGAGTTATTGTGAGTTGTTATTTCTGCCAGCAGTGGGCAGCAGATTGCTGTCTCTAAAACTACAGAGAGAGTTCTGGGTAAATTTTGAACTTAGGCATCACCTTTGGACATGTCTTTATTTATAAGAAACACACCTTAACCCATTTTACAGAAAACATTGATCTAGACCATCTTAACGGGCAAGCCATATTCCTCCAGCACCACAAGAAAGGCCTGCACGCACTCTGGTATGAGAGCCTGTTGTTAGGGAAGTGTGTGTGGGGGGGTGAAGGAAGAGAAACATCAGGGCGGCTCCGGCCAACTGCCTCTGCCTGACATGACAGAGACAGGTGCTGTAAAATCACCCCTTTATAACTCCCTCTCTCACACACACACAAGCACATACTCATGGACACACCCACACATGGCAGCATGCCAACACCCACTCAGCACGCACAGTCAGCCTGCCAACACACTCAATTATTTCACTGCTCTACTTTTTAGCATGAGAGTTTCTAGACTGTTAAACAGTCAACAATCTCTGTCTCCTGTGTAACTGTGCGCTCATAACTCATACACTTTCACCTTGTTTATAACTTAATGTCCTACATTAGTCTTCACTGTTCACAATGAATACGTGTCGGTCTTGTAAGTAAATGAGTGTATGTGGTGAAAGAGCCAATGTGGTCCAAAGTTGTTTACTTAATAAAGAGCTGTGTCGACCTTTGACCTGTGAGCAGACTGGCTGATTGGGTGTTGAAAGTAGTGTTGCGGTGATCTGCACTCCATACTCTCCCCATAATGCCAAACAAATCTTTCCTGCTGGTTTTGTCTCACCTCAGAACATATAACCAAAAAATTAGACCAACTTTCTCACTCTCTGGACAGCAACCACCTCTGCTCGTACTTCATCGATCATGGCTGTTTCTGTCAAATTTTTAAGTATCACAGACATGGCACTCTCTGCTTTGACATCACCCATGGAGTACCATAGATCTTCATCTTCTGCTTTGACAGCATGTTCAAAATAGCAGGAGATCAAAGAGTTCTGGCTGAATGTTCTGAATGTGTGAGGGCTCGACACAAAGCACACCGGACAGGCAGGTTACGGATGCGGCCATGCGACATGAGGGTTGATCCAGACAAGAACGATTTGAGAAGAAAAGGAGCGCTAAGCTACTTAAGACTGTGAACACAACAGTATGCTGTGCTGTCAAGTGGGGCCTGTAAAATGAAAATGTTTTATTTATTTTCCTCTGCCCAAAGGCGTATGAACAGATCGATGTAGTGTGTGATCAAAGAACTGGGGAATAGATTTTTGATCAATTCAGCGATTCAGGTCTAGAAATGAAGTCGTAGTTGTTTTCCAGTTTTAACAAAAAACTGAAAATAGTCCATAGTTGTAACTCATAACCATGGGCTAATGTAGATGTTTACTTCCAAATCTCTAAAGTAGAATTTTGTTGTCAAGAAAGCGATTTAACTTCCTAATGTAATAAAGGTTGTGGAATTGTTCTGTATAGGGCTGACGTGATTAGCTGATTAATAAATTGGCCAAATCAACGGAACAACAAATCATGAACTATTTAAAAAATCGATTAATTGCATCATTTTTTCAAGGACAATTGCTAAACATAGTGTGGTTTCAGCTTCTGTTTGTTTCTACTTCTGTTTCTGCTTCTCTGGTTTATGTCACTGACGACTGAAAGTCTTTGGACGTTTAGTAATTTCATATTTCCTACTTTGTGTCTTGGTTTTACATATTGTCTTGGCTTTCTTTCTTATTTCTCCCTTTCCTTTGTGTCTCTCTCTAAAAAAGCAATATTGTTTTTGAAAAGTGTGAAATAAAGTTGAATTACTTTCAACTGTTGAAGACACTGTTTCTGTCTACACCACCAACAGCTGCCCTGCCTCTCTCTTTATCTCCCTCTCTACCTCTCTGTCTCTCTCTCTCTCATCGGCCTGTGAGTGACAGCACATGTGCTGGGGTACATGGGAGGGCCGCTGCTGAAATTCTAATCCCCTACCCTACCACTGTGAGACATACCCCAGCCACGGACAGGGAGGAGCTGTGACTGACAAACGCTGGGAGAGGAAAGAAGAGAGACAGACTGCAAGAGGACAGAGAAGGATAGAGAGGGACAGGTTTCAGGGTTGGAAAGTTTGGCCTTTTTGCACGGTCGAGACACTCAGGAGGCCAGTTCTAAGTGGAGGAGCCTCCGATCTTTCAGTCATCAGGGGACCGTTCATACTGAGTTTCTGAGTGCAGGTTCTGAGGATGGCGGGATGGATGTTGATGGTGTGTGTGCTGGGTACCCTGCTTTGTCAGGTAAGAAAAATCATCACCTCTTCATAGCTACTGTCGACTAAAATGAACAAAATATGTTGATGTATTTGGGCATTGAAGAACGTTTGTGGTTGTTTTCTGATATATCAAGCGTGAGCAGTCTTTCACAGCCTCAATGGATGAAAACAAAAAACAAAAGTTAAAGTTCTGTCCTTACCAAGTTGACTGCAGTATCTAATGGTTTTGTGGACATTAAAATCTCCCATTGTTGCAAAGATGTCTACACAATAGAGCTAGTGTTGTGAGCTTTCTGATAAAAAAAAAAAAATGTAAGTAATTTCACCTATGGCTGCTGTAATAGTACTCCACTTGCACTTGAGTTGTAGGCTACCGTGTGATCATGCCCCCCTCCGTTCATCTACTGTATGGACCTAGATTCAGCACCCAGATTTTAGCCCAAGACTTCACCCGTCCTGCCCATTCAGAGTGTGATCTTGGCAAGAGACTGCCCTTTAGCTTCTCCACTCTTCAAATATACAGTTTATGTTTTTACCTGAGTGATGTCTTCAACCAAACATCAACCAAGTTTCATCATTAGAGGCACTGCACTGGCTCTGCAATCAGATGTTGTGGCTTATCTAAACATTTCATCCTAGTTGGAAAGAGGATGATAAAGTGTTATCAGGAGGACGAGACTCCAGATGTGTACAGGGGGCTCAGGGCACCATTAGTAGCCCCTGTCGGCAGTCCCCATTATGAGAACTAAAATGGATGACAATGTAAACTGACATATTACCAACAGCTCTTCCAACCACCATCATTCTTTCTCTGTGTTTGGAGTAGTAATAGAGGCCAGGTTGGGAGGGTGAGTGAGTTGGCCTCCAGTGATTCTCGAGGGAAGTCTAGCTTTGATGTGCTCTATAATTCATATTAACTGTTGCAGATGCTATATAGCATCTGCAAATTAATAATTCAGATTTTCTCAATCAGTGACATATCTCTGACCTTGACAATTGTTAAAAGTTTATGTGTCTTTGTGGTTGAAAGGTTTTATGCTGCATTTGTGGTTCATTATCATATTCAGTGGCTAATTGATTGTGGAGAAAATCACTGAAAAAAAATACAGTATGTATCCTCTTTTGAACATGGGAGTGTTAGATCGCTGATACAGCCACGGTTCAAGTGGCCTTAGCCCCTAATAACACAAAAGATATTTTGGTCAAATCCTCAGGACCTCAGCAATAATTGTATTTAAGACCTTACATATAAAAATAACCCTGTTAATGATTTGAAAGACCCGTAAACCCCGAAGTTCGACCTTTAAGGGGCAGGGTCCCAGTCTATGGGCTGGATGCAGAAAACTACTTAAGCACTGGGTGGTGAGGCTGATACAGGCTTTAATTGCACCTTCAAATTCCCCTCCAAGAGGGGGGACAACCAAATAACAAAAAGTACCTCTGTCAGTTTGTTTGCTGTGTTTTTGATATGTAAACAGTCTGCTCTGCCAAAACTCTGTCTTTTGAGTATGAAATACTAACCCAGTGGAGGCACTGAGAATGTTATAGCTGCCATGGAACATCATGCGTTAGTGGACTCCAATGGCAAACTAATTGCTAATATTCTTATCCAATACACATCTTTTTGTCAAATTTGCGAATATGTCCTCATAGTTCGCTAGCTGTGTGCACTGTTAAATGTCCACAAACATTTAGCTTACCTTCTAGTTCGCCAAGATATGCTGTTGTTGTGATGTTAGTAGCAGGAGAGTTGTGAGTATTGCTGCATGGACGGTTTCGCCCTCTCTGCATGTTAGCTTTGCAGCAGCAACTGTAGCAACAGTTTGCAAACCCACAACTTAGCTAAAATTAGTTACATTCCTTGCTGTGTCGTTGTTCACTCATGGTATTTGTTATGGAATTTGATTTCTCCAGAACTGCTTACTCTCTATCTTCCCTCCATGTTAGAAGAGGACACATTTCTAAGTGCTAAATAACACATAATAACACATAATAACATAATAACACATACGCAGCTCACAAAATATTCGCACACACAAACAAAATAAGGTAATTGTTGTTTTATATCTGAAACAAATCATAGACCAGATATATAATGCATATCTGTGCAAAGTATTTTACTATATATATACTATATATATACTATACTATACTATACTACTATACTACTGAAGCGGTGGCCATGTTTGACAAACATTTAGGGCATGGCTTCAATTCTAATACATGCTTCATAAGCATGTATTAGACATTTTAATAAATGAATAATAAATATAAAATTAATCTTCCCATCAGAAGCTGTCAATCCAGTCCAATGGTTTTGGACAGCGTCACCTGATAGCTTTCAGGTGTTTGAACTAGGCAGTGTTTGGGGCTGCTGGGTGTATGCTGTGGTGAGGAGTGGGCAGCAGCCACAGCTGTTCCCAGATGCATATGTGATGCCATTTGTCCCGCTCTGTAATCCTCTTCGCGGAAAGAGGAGTGGGTTGCTCCTGGACCATGAAATCGGGTACAACTCAAGAGTCTGTAGCAGCGGCCAGCTGGCGCTGAGGTCTCACTCATCGGAAACAATCAGTCAGAAGATTTAGAATCTGAATTACAGACTGCTGGGTGTGGATACCTGGGGGGTGTTTTAAACTTACTAGGGTTTCAGAGGGAGCAAAGGGTAGAGAGAGACAACTTCCAGATCATAAACACTAGTCGACTGAACAGTGAAGTCAATTTCCTTTATTATTTTTGTCTCATTATTTTTAAAGGACTGAGACATGAAAGATCATGTGGTGACAGTTGTTGTTTCCATGGTCATGCACAAGAATAAGCTAGCAGCGATGTTATTATGGGTTTGTCACTTGTGCCATTTTGTATCCCCACTGAATACCCATGTAAAAAAAGGGGGGGGGGGTTGCATTCTTTAGCTACCACATAAAGACCTCACCACATTCAGTGCAGTCATTTTTTTATAAATTGGTAAAGATTCTATTTTTAGAATTTTGATTGTTGAATTTTTACTTTATATTATATATATATATATAATATGTACTGTATGTTCCTACATTTTGTTGTTATTACACATACACTGAGTGAAATATTAATAATTTTGCACATTTACATTCATGCAAATTCAGTCTGATGTAAAATTACTAATGTTTCTCCCAGCAGCATGAGTTTGCAAAGATACATCCAATGGGTTCAATAGAGTTTAAGAGGTTTGTTTGAGATGTTTGAACAGATTGGGTTTTTATTCTGGCGTATTCTAATTAACAGAATGTGTGTGATGACGTTTCTTTGCCCAAAAATGTACAGGGCTTTTATACTGGGAATGTAGAGGAGAGGGACAGTCACTGCATCACTGTATTAATAGTAAATGTGTCTGTCATGTCAAGAAGATTCTATCTCATGCTTTATTAAATAAAGAAATTGTGTTATTGATTATCTTTAATATAACAAATCACTTTAGTTGTTTGATGATACTGTTTTATTATTTTTTCTTGAACTCCATGTTTATGCACTATTGAGTCACACTGTCTCAGTTTAATAGTATATCCTTGCTCAGCATTCCCAAAGTTCGGACATCTGCTCCGAAGGGGACTCACACACCATAAATAGGGTGTCCATGCCCATGCCAGGCAGTCATGACTGATCAAAGAGTAGGGGTGTGGACCAGTACTGATGGTGACTGACCAGTTGAATGTCTGTGCCTGAGAAACAGTAACAGAAGTGACCACAGAGACACCTGTGCGACTTCTAGCCCTGTGGCCGAAGAAACTGTCAGGCATGCTAGCCAGCATTACTTCTCTGCTGTACAGTCTCTTATGAGTTATTTGAACAACTGTTCCACTCACACATGTCTGGAGAGGAGACTCAGGCCAATAGAGATTCAGCACAGGACTCTCTCAGAGGTGCTTCAACTAATACATTCAAATGGCAAATAGCATTTTTTATAAAATGTATCACTCGCTGGTATAATTTGTCAGAGTTAATTTTTTCCCTTACATTTCTCGTTTGAACGTGTAGCGACAAACAAAATATAAATTGATGTTAATGGTTTGCAACATGTGACTGACATTTGCATTTCCATATTAAATACTCAAAAACTAGGGTAATTTAAAGGTATGACAGCATGGACACTCACAATGGCTCATAAAGTGTCCAAGACGTAATGTATTTGTAGCAATACCTGTAAGGTGGACAACTCCAATGGCTTTGTGAATGAATGAGATTCAAATGCAGCAGTTTCAAAACTTGGAAAGTCATTTTACAGTGATCAACAGATGATTATTGTCTTACTGCGTATGTTTGAGTGTTGCCGTTATGTGACCCCTCATCTCTTTCTGAGTTTGACGTTTTTAAAGTAACAAACAAGTCTAGTGTTACTAGTCTAACTCTTGTTACTACTGAGTTAAGATGCTACTTAGCAACCAAATGTACTTCCCCCAAATGGAAGTGTGGCTTTCAATTGATATTTAAAACCTGCTTATATTTTTTATGTTGTTATTATTCCAAGGAGTTATTAAATTATTTATTCAAAACTGAATTTTGAATATGTAATTTTCAGTTTTAGGCTCATAATTATCAATAATCTCCCAAAGATAGGGCGATTTCAAAGTACACTGACGATACGATAATGTAGGTAATCTCCTGATTTAAAGTCCTTCACATGAACCAGAGGACTATCAAAAAGAATTTAACTTTCTCAAACTCGGTAAACACTCCTCGGCTTAAAGGTTCTTGCTGGGAGGGCATATCATCCCCAGACAAGCTGACCATACTTCTGTGACGGCCCTAAGGTGAAAGGCCAAGCTGTAAAAGTTTCTGGGAAAAGCCTCTAAAACAGTTAATCTGTGTGTGGTGTCATCGCTCAGCCTGTCAGAAAAGGCGCATGCTGGTCTAATTGGTAACATGACACTTTAGTGTTACTGCATCTTGGTCTGGTAAAAACATTATAAGAGAGGCAGATACTTGGTGGAGCCACTATCCAAAACACAGTCTTATCTTAAATTCAGATTGAAAGGACAAGGCAAGACACTGATATAAAGTATTTGAAAAGGAAGTGTGGGAAATAACAAATGTTTGTTTCCAGGTGGTTCTAAGTTTTTGTGTTTTATATTCTGGAAAAGCTGGAATACATTGTTGTTGTGGTTTGCGTCAGCATTACCACAGTATAGTTGTTTTCACAGTATAACTGTAACTGTTAAGATGGTCAGTCCATCAAAAAAAATAAATACAGCAGACCTTTCCTCCAGTACACGATTCTTTATTCACCCAACGTTTTTGGATTTATTGCATTCATCAGAGGTAGGTTCCAGTTTCCTTGCACTGTATATAGGTCATTGATCACTTGTGTGATGTGTAGATCACCGTTGATACTAAATATACAAAAAAAACATTATCATCATCTTATTAAAATAGTTTTTACAAAATACAACATTTACTCCTAATGGATACAGAACTGTATAAAGAAAAATATATATACATAAATAAATAAATCATCAAGAATTATAAATACAAAACATTCAGTGCAATCTTCCTCTAACCATGATTGGGTAAAATGGTCGAATGTCTATTTTTAGCCATGCTAGCGGCGTGGATTTAGGGATGACAATGCTGGTCAGTCAGTCTGACTGTTTTATACAAACATATGTAATCCCCAGAGGGTAACTTCTATTGACTTTAATGATCCCCTGACTTTTTCTCTAGCACCAGTAGGTTGGAATGTTCAGTTTTTATTGACATGGCTCAACAACTGTTTTTAATTTATTTATTTATTTTGTTCTTCAGATTGCCATGACATTTGGTACAGATATCCATGGTTCCCAAACAAGTTGTCCTATGACTTTGGTTATCCTTTTTACAGTAGTCTCATGTCTCTTCCATCTCTTCATATTTATGGATTACCTTAACTAACTTTAAAGTCAATCTGCGGTTAACCTCAACACATTCTTTGTGTAAATTTTGGTTGTTTGATTTATAAAGCATGGTGTGCTGGTGGAGAGTTGTGCGATAGATTTGATGAACTTGCATTTAAAGCTCACACAGGTCCACTGTGTGTACATTCTCAAAGTTAGAAAAAGGTGGCCATGTTATGTGTCCACAAATCAGGCATACTCAGAAAGTGCTATATTTGGAAATACAACTGTGATTCAGCTGTTATTGATGTTGAGGTTTAGTATCAGTGCAGAATGTGTGCTATGCCGGTGGAGGTTTGAGAGCTCATCTATGCAAAAGTCTTTGTGTGGGTGACATGCACCGCTGGAATGTGAATGTAAACATCTCTGTGAGAGTGTAGATGACGATGGCTACAAAAAGTTAAAAAGGTAGGGGCTGAGAATATAGAACAGTCTAAGATTAGCCTGCCCTCTGACTTGGCCTGCAGATGCCAGCCATGGTTGCCATTCCTGCCTGCACTGTCCAACAGTGTGCCAAAGGATCAGTATATCAGATCACCCGTCCCAGAGACAGGGCAGGGATCATAGGCCATTCACAAAATATTCGCAAATTTATCCACTGATCCATTATTTTACTTATTTATTTGTGACTCACCAAAAAAAAGTCAGTTATATTTGAGAGAAAACCTAAAGACAAACGTAACAGATACCTTATACATTTATTTCTGGTTCTATGGATTATGCCTTTGAGCTGTTAAACATAAGGGGAGTAATGCTAAATCCAGTCAATTCCCACAGAGAAGAAAGAAACAACTTGTGTAAATGTGTATATGTGCTTATGCGTGGGTGGGTGTTTTGTTATATATCAGTCTCTGTGTGTGTGAGAAAGCCTGTATGAGTGCGTCTATGGAATTCCTACAGCAGAGCGGATATGTAAGGTGACCCCGAAGTCCCAGTCAGGTGCAGAGCTGAGCATAAAGGGGAATTTGTGAGTGTGAGTGGGAATGCGGGTGGGAAAGAACAGGATCTAAATCCATACTCGACAGCTGTTGTGTCAGTGTGCTCCCCCCATGTGTGTTGTGTGTGTGTGTGTGTGTGCGCGCGCATGGGTGTATTTGTGTGAACGCAGTCAACATGAGACAGCAATGTGTTGAATGAGGGCTTGTAAAATGAGCATGAGTGTTTGTGTTTCCTCGTCCTGAGATGAATTTGCACCCAGATCAAAGGAAGCTGACAAACACATGTATTAGCGAGTGAAGCTGTGGCCCTGCATCCCTTCTGCCCTGGACAATCCCACAGATTCCACATTACAGACAGCTTCAGCGCTACAGCTAACATACAGCCATTCCATTAGGCCATTGGGAATGTTATAGCACTGATGGAGACTCTCGACATAGCTTAAACAGCTGCAAACATCTATGATGTCATAATGTGTTACTTCAATGAAAAAACTACACTTAGGCTACTGACATATTGTATCTCCTTGTATGAATAGTGGAGTGTGATGTGAGTTCTAATGCCTAATTAATTGCATGTTCCTGTGACTTTCTTTTGTAACTCCCTTGCTGTTGTTGTTTCCTTCAGCTGATGATCTCTGCTGAACCTCTTCACAATGAGGAAGAGCTGCCTCCTCAGGCCCTTTACCCATGGAGAAACCAAGGCAAGGGAATGGTCAGGGTGAAGAGGGACTGGATCATCCCTCCAATCAGAGTGCTGGAGAATAGCAAGCAGGTTCCCGAAGAACTTGTCCAGGTATAAATGTCAAATAACAGCTTTTCACATTAGAATTTCATCAGTAGACAACTGCTGTGTCATTTCAAGTATAAATGGGTCACATTTAATAAGTATGTCTAAAAACAATAGTCAGGTGCCTGTAGTCTATGTACATTGAAAGTATAGTTGATGGTTTACAAAATCCACAGTTCTAGTTCTGTACTAACATGTATTCATAAGTTTATCTGAAGCTAATACAGGGTTTCCACCTTTCCACCTGGTTTGAGATTCTGTTGGGCCTTTTCTGTTTGTTTGTTTGTTTGTGTATTTACTTTTTTGAGGGGGATCTCAGATTTCTGTTTCAGTTTCATATGGACTGTTTGTGAACCCTATCTAACATTAGGTGAGTGTAAACTTCTCCAAATCCAATAAAGCTGGACAAAGCTGCTAACATTAGCTATATATTATGATTTTAATATTTATGAATGGCTCACACAGTGGGGAAATACTACACAGTAAATGTGTTAGTCATGAAGAGTCCTTTCTTTTAACCCCACAAAATGGGGTTAAAAGTAGTATGTAGTGCTTACGTAGTATGAAATGTTCCTTGGCCTTGCAAGTTGGCTACCACTGTGTGTAGTAAGCTAGTTAGGTGGACATGCTAAGATTTGCAGCTTACATTAATTCATTTTTACACGTTAACTTTTGGATTTTAGCTTTTGGAAAGGTTAAAAAAAGACACCACCATTCAAACTCTGTCAAAAGTGTCTCCTTACTCTACAGTCGTTTGTCATGCCTAGTTATGATAGCTAAACTATGATAGGACAATCGCAATGGTCATCATCTGTTACAGATGACCAGTGATGTATAAATCCTACAGTACAGAGAGAAATACTGAGCCACTTTTACATGGTGATGAAAATGCAACAGCGACCATATATCAAAGTGAATGCAAAATGCTTAAAATATAGACTCCTTGCAATTATTTGTTCATAATCTTATTTCCTGCCATAAGTCAAAGACCTCTCTGAGCTTAAGCACTCTTGTCTCATGGTCCCCAACTGTCAGCATACTCACATCTGGTGTTACAGCATGTGGTTTGCAATCCTACCCCCACCATGAGGTTACGATGATCATCAACTTTATCTCCTCTCTGTGTTTAGATCAAATCAGACAAAATCTTTACCGGTGAGGTGATCTACAAGTTAGAGGGACCAGGGGTGGACCAGGAGCCCAAGAATCTATTTGAGATTGATGATAAAACAGGAGTAATCAGGAGCAAGCGGCCTCTGGACAGAGAGAAATACAACAGCTTCACGGTAAGATACGGGAGTAACATCAAATATCACCCTTGACACTTGAAATGTGTTTTAAAGCACTATGAAAGACATTTACTTGAAACAAGCCACAATGCTCCCAACGAGACCTTACACAACATGTTTTGAAGCATAGGTTCACGTTTTTGTCTTAAAACATATATCAGTGTCTCAGAAACTTGTAGTAACAGCCAGAGGTCAGTTTGTAAGGGCCTTTATGGGCATCTTGGGAGACACTTCAGAAAGTTTCAGACCACATGACTGGGATGTAACCCCTGATGTTGAACCAAAAATCCTGCACATTTCTTTCTGCCATTTCCAGCATATATTGTGTTCAGGTACTCCAAGTGTCCTGTTGGATGTTTCCTTGATTTGTGGTAATTAATAGTAAGAAACACTTTTGTGAAGAAACATTTGTCTGTTGTATCTGTGTTTGTGTGTGTAGCTGAAAGCCTTTGCGCTGTCCCCCAGTGGAGAGAGACTAGAGAATCCTACCACCATAGAGATAATGGTGCTGGATCAGAATGACAACAGACCGGCCTTCATCCAGAGCCAGTTTGTTGGCACTATCTCTGAGTTCTCAGTCCCAGGTACATCTGTGTATTACATACTGCATTTCCAGCTTTTCTTACTTTCTTGAACCTCAATGTTCCAAAGCCATCTAAAATTTCCTTCATGAAGTAGCTTCAGATGTTTTTAAAGTAGCACTAAATGGAGTATTACACTTGTTTCTGTGTGTCATTGACACTACAGTATCCCATACAGTTTAAAGCTGCTATAATAATTTTTTTTATATTAATAACAGATCACATAACTATGTGTATGTGAAAGTGGTCGCTCATGGTAATGAACCTACAGATAATTTCACCTGAATATGCAGTTCTCCTCTGCTCTACAGAGCATTTTTCAGCTCATTCTTTTGGTTTTACTGCTTTGGTTCACTCTAACCACTCTCATTAAGCATGTTTTTTTGATGCAGCAGGCAGCTGTTTTCAGCTGGAAAATCTGAGCACTAAACAGCAGACAGACAAATGACCTGGTGAACATAGTGGAACATTTAGCAGCTGAAGAACTAAAAAGGGGAGTGGATATTGGACTTACATGTATAAACTGCAAGCAACTGTTTGCTAACAAGTTTGCCCAAATCAAGTTACATCAAATATGACAGCTTGTTTCTGTTATTGCAGGTGAAAATATTAAAATCCTATATGGCATTTATGCATTATTCCATTTGCAATTCTGTGTTCTGTTATCTTGTTCTTGTTTATTATGGCATCACTAATGTAACAACAACAGATCACAACTAATGCCAAATTAACATTAACTAATTTGCATGTTACAAGTTCCTTGTTTTCCTCTAAAGGCACATTGTCTTCCCATTTTAATAACAGGACAATAGCAGAAGACTTGTAAAATGTTTTGTATAGTTTGACATTTTTCGTTGAAGTCCTGCAGCTTCTACACATATGTCACATATCTGTATTTCATACTGACAGATCTTTCCAGCTGCCTGAAGCTTCCGATTATTTTTCACAGGCACATCAGTGATGTCAGTGTTAGCCACTGATGCAGATGACCCAATGACAGATAACGCTTTTCTGAGCTACTCTATCATTGGCCAGGAGAGCATTCCTGCCAACGCTGTTACCAAGACTATGTTTGGTATCAACAACCAGACCGGAACCATCTACACAAGAGATGTAGGCCTGGACCGAGAGGTAAGATGCAGGTTATGGTTAAGATACAGATTTGTGCAGATCATCATTTTATGGTTAATTTCACTAAAATTTGCTTTTTTTCTGTCATAGGTGGTGAAAAGTTTCAAATTAAAACTGCAGGTTGCAGATATGGGGGGCATGGGACTAACAAGTGAAGGTGTGGCAATCATTCATGTATCTGATATCAACAACCACGCCCCACTGTTCAGTCCAGCCTCGGTGAGTCTCAGACAACAATACATGATGGATATTTTAAATTTGTTATTTAAAACACTAAACTCATATTAAGGTAAATACTTAGATATTAATTTTTAACTCAGTGAATTGTGTGATATGACAATTGTTTTGTCACACTGGTTAGAATCTTTTGATTTGTGCTTTGTATGTGGTGCATATAGTACAGCATGATAGGAGTGGAGAACAGGAAGGACTATGAGATTGGCCGGGTGAATGTTACCGACAGAGATGATGGAACAGGAAACTGGGAGGCCAAATACTTCATTGCCAACAACCCTGATGGCAACTTTGCAATCAAAACGGATCCTGCCACCAACCAGGGCATTCTGACGGTGGTGAAGGTACAGCCTGGTGACCTGCTGTTAACTGAAAGAGTATGAGCGAGGTGGTGGTGATTGTTGAGGTTCCATCACACATTTTGGCTGCATGTTAGAATTATAGCTGTGACCTGTGTGTCATCCATTTGTATTTGAAGATCAAATGCTTAGACTTATGCCAAGCATCCAAAGTCACACTGACAAATTTAAGTGGATAAGGCGAAAAATGATTGCTGTCAGCTATGTTCCTCAACCTGACTTTATGATTCCTTATTTTATCTTCACATTAATCTGTTTTGTCGATGTCAGAATATTGTCGGTATTCTCCACGTTACACATGCAAAAAAAAACCTGAAAAAACTAATTCCATGGAATATAAGAATTCACATATTGTCAGGTCAAATCTTTTCCCAAAAGAAAAACTTTTAAGGAGTTAAGAAAAGTAGCCCCCACCCTTTTTAAACCTTGACCATGATATGTTTTGTAGTTGTTGTGTAATGACTTTTGAAGTGGTTGTGGTAAAGTTATATTTTATAGGTCTGTTATTTCTATTCTATTTTTAGAGGTCTCCTGGAAAAGGAACTATGCTAAGTTGTGACACAGATAATTTAAAACCAAATAAATATTAATTCTTTATTTATTATTCATTTTATATCAGAATTAATCTATGTCTAAAATATGTTATGCCTGTAAATGAAATTGACATTTTTGCCTATCCAGCTGATCTGCTATGATCTGGTCACAACAGCATTTCGATGGAATAAAATAATTGGAAGTGGATAAATTGGATGCTGTTTTACCTTCAGTTACTGCCCAATTACATGGGTCTTTCTAGGAATCTAGGAATTTACAGACCCATTTAGTAACATGTTGCTCTGAATGTAGATTTATTTTCAACTCAAAAAGGAGAGCATGTGAACAAAGCTGGTGTAAAAGGTTTTTAGGAGACAACAAGAAGTTATGTCTCTACTCTAGGACGGTTCAGTTGGTTCATTCATAACATGTGTTTTACCGCATATGTTGTAAGAGTCTAGCGTAAAGGAAAAACATTATGTATTCATAAATGTTGACTGATTTGTTCTGGGGCACAGGAATAATTTTGAATGTTCAAAATAGGTGGGAATGCCCTAGATAAAATGTGCATTGAGGCCCTCAGACCCAACTCAACACCACTCTCTAGTGGTTGAGCTTTAAACTACAACTACTCAGATAAAGATGCTTTCCCTGTGTTTATACATATAGATTTATCGTTACCCCGCGACCCTGTACGCTTGATGATGGATGGATGGATGGATGGATTTATCGTTAATCCTCTATTATCTAACCACGGTGTAGTACAAATTTTTCCTTCCACAAAACTGCCTTTTCTGCTCTGTTTTGTCATGCAGCCTTTGGATTATGAAGCACAGGATGAGTATACCCTGACTCTGACGGTGGAAAATATCAATCCTCTGAGCAACAAGGCTCCCAACCTCCCAGCGAGCACCGCTACTGTGGTGGTGACCGTTGTGAACGAGAATGAAGCTCCACATTTCAGGGAGGACCCCATACAGATTGTGGTCCCTGAATCTGTGGCTCCTGGGACTTTACTGAGAAGCAACATCGCCTTTGACCCTGATAATTCTGACCTGAGGTATGATGCAGCAACCAAACAAGAGGAGTATTTCAGTGTTGTTTTCTTAAAGAATGCAAGTAAACTGGTTGGACAGTTTGTGTGTCTCTGTGTGTAACATTTCCTCTGCTCTCTGTGGCAGGTATGAGATTAGCAGAGATCCTGAGAGGTGGCTGGACATCAACAGAGATACAGGAGACATAACTGCCAAGAGAACCTTTAACATGCGGTCTCCTAATGTTAAAAACAATATCTACAAAGCTGTTGTCAAGGTTACAGGTCAGTTAACCTACCAACTTGAAATATATACCTTACCCGGATTGCAGGGTTTATACCTCTTATAAGAAAGAAAAGTCTTTTTTAATTAAAAAATAAAATGGACAATCAGTCAGAATGAGGGTTGTGAAAACACTACAACTAATTTTGGCAGACATAAACATTGACTAAGCTGTTGTAACTTAATGTGCCATTGCCGTGTATGTATGTTCTCCTGTCTAGATGCTGGTGGTGTGTCGACCACTGCCACAGTGGCCATCACACTAAAAGAGACCAATGACTTCCCCCCTCAGCTCTTCCCTCTGAGTGGCTCTGTCTGTAGGGGTGCCGGCTGGACGAGTTCTGGTCTGGTGGTGACTGCTGTGGATGAAGACCTTCCTCCGCACACTGTACCCTTCACCTTTGAAATGTCCGATGATGTGTCAATCAACTGGACTATTATCCAAGTCAACGGTAAGGAGAGAGCATCAGGGGTAAGGATGGAGTCGCTTCCGTGAATCTCCTAACCTCACACTTTTCTCAATGTTCCTTTCCACTTCAGATACCCATGCTGTGCTGCAGCCCCTCGTAGAGCTGGAGGCAGGAGAGTATGCGGTCACAGTGTTCGTGTCTGACTCCGGCAGCCCAGTTCTGAGTTCTTATGCTCAAGTCAATGTCACTGTGTGTCTCTGTGACTCCTTTGGAGATTGTAAGTCTGAGGCAGGGGCTGTCCTAGGCTCCAGTGTGGGAATCAGCTTCATCGCTCTCATTATCATCATGGCCAGTATTGCACTTCTGTTGTGTAAGTCTCATCCTGAACACGCCATTCAGTCTTAAACCCCCCACCCAACAAGAATAAAGCAAACATGAACCTAGTTTCAGATGTTTTCAGTTTTACATTTCTTACATTACATGACATATTCTTCATCCAAGTGGAGTGATACCAAACGTCTCTGGTGATACTCCAAATCATTAGCTGCAGCCCTAAAAACTATACACACTAACTGAATAATACTTGGTGGTTCCACCTCTGGTTGATTGCAGTGCTGCTCCTCCTGGCTGTGGCGGTGACCACATGTGGGAGACGCCACCACATCAAGAAAGGAACAGGTCTTCTTGTTGGGGAATCAGAAGACGACATCCGTGACAATGTCTTCAATTATGATGAGCAAGGAGGGGGTGAGGAGGACGAGGTAAGGCTACACGGGTCACAAGTCAAGAGAGGTCTGAACGATTCTCATGTTGAAATGGATGCTGTTTGTATGGTGTGGGTGCGGAATTGTGGATCTAGAATATTTATGAATGGTTGCGGTTGAGGAATGCAGTGAAACAATAGGACAAGACGGTCTTACTGAATGTATTCAATAGTAACTTAATGGTATTTAATTGTAATTGACGGTGTGCTTTTGTTATTGTGGTTTTGATTTGTTTGTTTTCCAAGTTTATGCATATTATCACTGTATTCTTAAAGTACATGCAGAGTCAGTCTGTAGCCTCTTCCTCTTCCCTTGCAGAATGCCTTTAACATCGACTTGCTGTGGAATCCCCATGACGTACCTTCGACACCCGGGTCCTACTACCCAGGGTCTGGTATTCCTCGAGGCAAGCAGCCCCTCAGGAAGGATGCCCCGCATAACTTGCCCTCACCCATCTACCCACGGAGGCCTCCTGCGGATCCCACTGACATCGAGGACTACATCAATGAGGTGAGAGGCTTATACCATGACACCGTTTGACCTACAATTCATAACGAAAATGTATTTCAAAGTTATATAAAAAGGATATACAAAATTCTGAATACAAAAGAGGAATTTACTTTCCCTCCCAAAGTTATTAAGGCCTTCTAATAGACAAACATTGGACAACTAAATTGAGCTTTTCAGTTTGTTTAGATCTGTAATGATAGAAATGTCTATATTTTCAATGGTGATCAGTTTGAAAAGACGCTATATTCTTAGATTTTTAATATACGTTAAGGGGAACACCACCAATTTCACACATTAAAGTCTGTTTACAGGTCTTGGGTAGTGCAAATGTGCACAAAGTTGTACACAGCCCCTTTGTGACTCCAGAGGGAGCTACGTGAAGTCTGACAAAGTGGCTCAAGTAATGTCACTTGCGGAGACTGAATATATATTTAAAAAATTTTAGTTCAAGAGTAAATTATGTCCATTTACAGTTTAAACAGAATTCCTAGGGCATTTGTTTCAACTAAAAAAATCTAACCTACCCTATCTAAAGAATGTTTCTTCCCTCAGGGCCTGGAGGCTGCAGACAATGATCCTAACATGCCTCCATACGACACAGCGCTGATCTATGACTATGAGGGAGAGGGCTCACTGGCAGGCAGCCTCAGCTCCATTGCTTCAGGCAGCTCTGATGGAGACCAAGACTACGACTACCTCAACGACTGGGGACCACGCTTTAAGAAACTGGCCAACCTGTATGACCCACGCTGAGGTCCACAGCGCCCCACAGAAAGAAGACTTGTGTGATTCACCGCCGGTCAGGGACACAGATCATACCTCAGGTGTTTTTCTGGACAAAAAAAAAAGATTTTAGTCTAGGACAAGATCTGAAGTGTGCCAAGGAAAAATACTTTTTATCTAATGTGCCTTAGGTTATATTGAGGATCTTTTGGACAAAACGGCTTGTTAAAATGAGACAGTGAAGTCGTGTGTTGACATGATCAGCCATGAGGGGAAGGAGCTGTGCATGCTAACGAGGCAAACAGGATGTGTGTTGAAATGAATGACGTCTAGTTATGTTTATACTCTTTAGACAGCTCAGTAATGATGCATATGAGCTTGAGATTAAAAAATAAATTTAAATGTATCTTTTTTATATAAGTGATTATTTTATAAGATAAACTTGCTTTGATATTGATTTTTGATATTGATCACAAATCCTCCATTCCATCTGTTCATCTTTGTGGAAGCTATCTCAGCAACAAAACATATAGTACTGTACAACACAATATTCTGTAATCCAATTGTTTGGAGGTTAAGACTTTTTTTTTAGAATTGTTTTTTAATATGTTCACTGAATTTAGGTTTACTGGTGTCTAAAGAATAAATGCAGATCTTTTATTTAGTTTGTATTGTTCATTATGAAATAAGACCCTCTTCACAGGCTGCACTAGGTTTCCTCATAATTCACACACATGTCAGTCAGTCAGTCAGTCAGTCAGTCAGGGCGGTGGACAAGTGGATAGCACTGTGGCCTCACAGCAAGAAGGTTGCAGGTTCAAACCCCGTCGTCCCAGCCTTCTGTGTAGAGTTCGCACGTTCTCCCTGTGTCTGCGTGGGTTCTCTAACAATGTGCTGCCTAATTCTCCCTTGAAAGCAGGTAATGAATTTTGCTTCTATAAAATACTACACAAAGAGCAAGACACACACACAAAAATATATATATATATATTTAAACCTGTCCTGCTCAGCAGCCTGGTATAGAGTATGATGAGCTGGATACCATATTGTGCCAGACAGATTTTACTTTAACAAGAGAGTATTAATATACTCCTTTGTCTTTTTATTATTTATTTAATTATGTATTGATTTGTCACCGGGCCGGACAGGGGGGCAGACATGGGGATGGGGGGGCACAAACAGACAGCACAGAGAAAGAAAGACCTGTAAGAGAAGGGAGATGGAAGGTGGGGACAACAGGGAAAAGCAGTGGGAAACACCAATTGCAGAAAGCAACGAAACCTGCAATAGAACAGAGAGGGGGGTTTGGGAGGAGAAAAACAACAACAAACAAACACAAACAATAAAAATAATAATAGTAAAAGACAACCAGCCGAACAGCAGCAATAAACAGCTGACATAGTAAGACAACTAAGAGAAAAATGAAAACAAGAAACAGTCAGGCACACTAAATAAGCAACACAGCACAGCCAGGAGAACAATTAATTTAAATAAGTAACTGAAAGAAAGGCATCAGAATAATTCTACCAGGGACAACCTAAATTTGTTTGTGTCTATGTGTGAGACTGTGTGTGTCCGTGTGCGTGTGGGTAAATGTGTCTGTATGTGTGTGTGTACATATGTGTGCGCATAAGCCTGTTAAAGAATGTAGTTGTTAGTGAGAGTGGGACGCCATGACTGTGCCGCAAGAACCCCAGTAGCAAATAGGGGTGGGAGAAAGAAGAAAAATAAATAAATAAAAAATAAATAAATAAAGACTCCCAGATGCACCGTGATGCAAATGCGGAAGACCCCGACCCAACCAACAGACGCCCAAAAAATAAATAAATACAAAATAAAAACGACCATCCAAATGCCAGTTGACAACGCAATGCCGACGGAACGCAAGAGGCGTAACCCGCGGAAGAGCAGTGCCCGGACTGACCGCGGCATGCACACAACATAGACCAGTGCTCCCCCCCAACCCAGCACCCCACCACCGCGCAGCAAACAACCAAAACGCAATCAACATCAATGACACACAATATTTAAATAAAACTTTATTTGAATATTTACCAACACCATCCTGTGGGACTTTATTCACATGTGGCAATCAAACCTAATACATAGACATTTTTCAAAGAAAACACAAGCTCAACCTCTTCAGTCTATTGACACAATCTGTATGTCTCGCGGTGAGAGGGTGTGTGGAGTAATACCTGCTGCCAAAAGGCGTATTTCAAAATCTAATTTCCTCATTGATGGACAGCAGTTTCACTTGTTCCTTACCATTTCTGTTTCAGCCCACTCAAAAAAATACTTTAGTGCATACTATTATGTACAAATGTCCACAGCAATCTACTACAATCTGTTATAATTCTTTACCGCAGTTCACTTAAATACCAAACTCAATAATGCGGACCTTAATGTGTTTGTAGCTGTGAGTCACCTGAGTGAATGTAAATATATTTGGTGCATGTCAGTATAGAATGACCTGAGTTACAAATAGCTAACGATTCTTTTGCGATGCCATTTGCAGACACAGCAAAGGTTCTGCTTAAATAGACGTGTTTTGTTGTGTGCTCCCATGGCATAATAATATAGCTGTGCAGCAAGCATACAAGAAAATTTGCGATTCATTGTAAAATAATCATCCTCTAAGATTCACTGGCCCTGTTTCAGATGATCTAAATGGTTCAGCTAACTGCAAAACAAGTCCCAAGGTTTTATAAAAATCCACCAAGCCCCAGATCACCACCACACAATGCCGCAGTTGTAAAACAACTTTGAGACATACACTTTAAGATCAGACCGGCTGTAGATCCACATCCTCTTCTCTGCGTTTGCGGGGAGGTGGTGGAGGTTCGTCTTCTCCCGTGTCTTGTTTGTCCCTCTCTGCCTCCAACCAGCTCTGCGGGACGATCATCTTTTTGGGCCCATGGGGTGGGGGACCCAGCAAGGCTTCAATGTCATCGTAGTTCACTACCTCGCATTCTAACAGCGCATTGGCCAACTGGAAACACAGACCCAACTAGTCAGGACTTATAATGTAAGCACAGCAGTGGTGTGCTAAATGATAGCACAAAGTTACAGTTGAAAGCAGAAAGTTGCACAAAATGCATGATCAAAGAACTGACCAGTGTCAGCTTGTCTTTGTTGTCCAGTAGCAGCTTCTCTGTGTGCCTGTAAGCACGGGCTATCAACATCTTAGCCTCCTGAAAGAACAACAAGTGCTGTCAAATCTATAACCAAAACTCATTAACAGTGTGCTAATGTGGGCTACCAGAGAACAGAGAACAAATCCAATTTTAGAACCCACGTGGTCCATCTGCTGCTGCAGGCCCTGGCTGAAAGGACGGCGTCCAATGGCACCTTGCTCCTCTGTGTCTGGGAACGAGACCTGGCCAAGACTGTCACACATGCCGTACTGCTTCACCATAGAGTAGGCCACACGAGTCACCTTACGCAAGTCATCTTGAGCTCCTGGGGACACAGAGTCAGGATAATTAACTTTGGGTTACAATCCCACTGGGTGGCAAGTTATAGTACACAGTGTAGGAGAGTATTTGGATTTTCATACATTGTTGTTTTACATACTTAATTTTAGATGCTGAAATTCCTATTCATAGCTAAGTGTTGATCAGAGTTGATGTTTAATCAGTAGAAAAAAAACAATACAATGAACAACCAATTGTAAGTGCAAAGGTCAGAAGAAATGATTTGAGGCGTTCATTGGAAGAAGCATATGAGCAGGCTGTGATTAAAGTGTACCTGTTGTAACCTTGTTAAAGATGATAGCCTCAGCAGTTCTTCCTCCCAGAGCCATACACATTCGTTCAAACAGCTGCTCCTTGGTGAACAGGTACTGGTCCCGAGGTAGGATCTGGGCAAATCCCAGGGCTGCATTAGTCCGCGGGGCAATGGACACCTGAAAAACACAACACATGATCCATCTGTGATTTCAACACGAGTTCTTAAAATAGTGAAGTGAATGGTCCTGAAGGAGGAGCCTTGCTTCTTTTTTTAAATGATTGTTTCAAGGCCTTTTTATCTGTCCATCCATGTTGTCCTAAAATTGTTTTTTGTCTTTCACACTGCATTCAGTGTTTTTTTTCCCTCTTGCGCTAGCTTGGTCATCAGTATAAAGAGGCATTAGACCTCAGTGTTGGCAGCCCATCTGATAACCAATAACCAATTATATGTTAATTGGGTGCTGAACATTTAACACCCAGTCTGATGTCCTGCTCATTCTGGCTTTGATATTCAGATGTGTGAAGGTCTTATGGAGCAAATACATGATGAGGCAGCCCAGCAAAGACAGAGAAAAGGGACCCAGAGTCATTTGCTCAACCTTGAGATAATAAACAGTTCCTGCATCCAAATAAATTACAAAAATAAACTTCAAGAACTAGTCATATCAGTAAAGTGGAGAACTGAGAAATGGCTAACAAGATATTAGAAGATTGGTGCTGATTTCTTTAGAGTCTGACTGAATCTTAAGGCTTGTGCAGACTACACGACTTGCCGTCTTGTGATGGGAGTCTTGAAGTCATTGTGGCGTTTACACTACATGACAGATCGGTGATCAGTGACAGGGGGTCTCACACTACACGAGCTGACAGCGAACGTGTCACTCGACGGTGTTCTCCAAAACAAGTTTTGTCAAGAAAACATACGGGAAATGTGAAACGGGAAATGACACGATCCTACATACGATACCAAATGATACCAATTGTAAAGACAAAGAATATGGGTGAAAGAATGGATTACCACACGCAGGTAAGCAGGGATTGTCTGTGCCACAGAGAGAGCTGGAGGTGAGTAAAAAGTGTTTTGCGGTGAAAAAGTAGCTGCCTGTTCTGCCAGCTGTCTGCTCTCATTGGCTGGATGTGGATGTCGAGTCGGCTGACTCGTCCAGATATTTGGCATGCTAGATATCTGACAGATGTCGGCGATGTGTCAGAAATGTATCAGGGAGCCGTTTTGATGCGTCGTTGAGTAGTTCACACGTAACAACTGGCGACCGCTGATCAACCACTGATTTCACAGCCTGACGGTCGCCGAGCTCGCCAATCGGGCTAAAAATCGTGTACTAGGCTTAAATGGACATTTAACACTTCAACTCTCCAATACAAATATACATATATAATATAAAATACAAGCATCAATTCTGCCACACTATGGGAGGTGCTAAAATTTTGCACTATATGACTTCTCGGTTTTAAAAAAAATATGGTAGACATATAATTATGTGTTAAAGGATGTCTTTACACAGGACATATCTCATATTTCTAATAAAAGCCTACAATACAGTGAGGAGAAGGCATACAAGAGTGTGTACCTTCATGACTGCCTCTGTGTGCTCAAGTAGCCATCCCACTAAGGCATGTCCAGACTCATGGAAGGCAACCACCCTTTGCTCCTCTTTAGACAGGATCTTGCTCTTCTTTACACTTCCTGAAGACATAAACATGCACACGATTTGTCAGCTTGTGCCAGAGTGGCAACTGAGACAGTTATTTGTTTTCCCACAATACAGTTCTTGCATAATTGTACCTGCTATTACTCTCTCCACTGCATACTCAAAGTTAAAGGTATCGATGGACTTGTGGCCCTCTCTGGCAGCATGCAGGGCAGCCTCGTTACAAATATTAGCGATGTCTGCACCTGCAGAGAGAAAGTGAGTTGGCAACAGAGGTTTCATGTTCACCACATGGGGGTGGGGGGTTGTGATGTGATGTTTTTTTGTGGAGGCAGGCCATTATTTTGGTGTGGCTACAGATGTTCATCCATTTACACGAGGATAAAACAAGTAAATATGTATATACCACTGAAGCCTGGGGTGAGCTCAGCCAGACGCAGAGAGTAGACATTAGCTGGTTGGGTCAGCTTCAAAATCTTCAGATGTTGTTCATAGATCTCCTTCCTCTCCTGAGTAAGAACAATAAAAATTTGTGACAATATTACTGCTCAGCTGCAACAACATCACTGCAACAGATTTTTTTTTCAAAGAAAGGTGTTAAAATCTGAATATGGTGTTTTGAGTCCAATAAGATACAACTAAATATAATACAGTAACTACACCACTCTTTAATTTAGATTGCTGGCAACTGTGTGTGTGTGTATGTGTGTGTGTGTGTGTGTGTGTGTGTGTGTGTGTGTGTGTGTGTGTGTGTGTGTGGGCGCGCGCGCATGCTCAAGACTACCTGCAGTGTAGGCAGATCTATAAAGATATGCCTATCCAGTCTGCCCGGTCTCATGAGAGCATTGTCCAAAATATCTGCCCTGTTAGTGGACGCAAGGACAATGACGTGGTCTGTCGTTCCCATTCCTGCAAATAAGAAGAGTTCATATATCTGCAGCGGATGACAACAAACTGCTCCGAAATCCTAAGTTTTACTCACCATCCATCTCTACCAGCAGCTGGTTGAGGGTCTGCTCCTCTTCAGTATTGGAGAAGCCCGACATGTTGGTGGAGCGCTTCTTTCCCACAGCGTCAATCTCATCGATGTAGACAATGCAGGGTGCTCGGCCTCGAGCTTCCTTGAACAAACTCCTGACCCTAGCAGCACCCAGGCCTACACACAAACACAACGTAAGTTTAAGAATTTTGGAGATGATATTTACAGCAAAACTGGGAAACAATATGGGATGTGTATATGATGACCAAGAAAGAAAGAGCAATCCTCTTATCTCAAGAATAGTCAGAATTGTTCAATAAATGTCAGTATATTCCTGCACTGTAACAGAAAAACCGACATTTAAGATATCACAATTACTGCTACTCTCTATTGACTATCAACATTATTTTGGCTGTATGTTGATCAGCTATGTGCCATATTAATTGCTGGTGCTATCTTTACATACCTCCAATTACCTCCACAAACTCAGAGCCAGCCATAGCCAGAAAAGGCACCTGGGCCTCAGTGGCTACAGCCTTAGCCAGCAGGGTCTTCCCGCAGCCTGGAGGCCCAAGCAGCAATGCACCCTTGGGAACCTTGGCTCCCAGCTGCAGGTATCGCTCTGGATTCTGACAATAGATAACATCGTGGTAAGTAATAAGACTGCAATGGGGACACTAAAAGTTTTACTCATGAGAGATTTGGCTGGTAGATACAAAGGACTTCAGTTCATCAAGTACATATTGTGACAAAGGTTGAACTAAACCATCAATTAGATTCACTAATCGTTATATTACTTAATTGGGATTGAATATTCAATGTTTGCTTTACATGGCTAAAGTACTATACAAGACCAACATATATCACTGAGAGCCTGGTTTCTTACCTTGAGGTAGTCAACAAATTCCTTCACTTCCATCTTAGCCTCATGCATGCCCGCTACATCTTTGAAACTCACACCTTTACCAGACTTGCCGTCCACGATGGTGAACTTGGCCATCTTCAGCTGATTCTGTTGAGTGTGTTGTAACATGCAATTAATTTGCTTAAGTTGAATCAGTGGACCACAATGTTGTCCTAAATCTACACATGCCAATTCGCTTAAGGGGTTTCACTCACAAAAGCACTGAAGCCGCCCTCTCTGCCCCCCATGCCCGCTAGCCGAAAGATATACCAGAGAATAGCCACGCCAACGGCAGCCATCCCCAGAGCATAGACTGCACTGCAAAATGAACAGAGGTAAAGATATTGCATTGAGTTTTTGTTACTTCAAAGTAGGAGGAAATCAGAGTTCAAAACAAATAAAATACAGTTGGAGTTGAGGGCCAATTTGACAGATCTAACTGTTTAAGTGTATATAATAGTCACAATCACACAACGAAACAAAAAGGGATTATGGTTACAATACATAATGACGGTTCTTTATGAAATTACTAATGAGAAAAATAATCCAAGTTAATGAATTATGTTTTTTGTGGTGGACACATTCTTTTATTCTGTATGTAGAAAGCATCCCTTCAAAATGTTCAACCAATGCAGAGACCTCATGAATTGATTTCTTTTGATTTAAAGTCTGCTCCGAGAAAGGTCACATTCTTACTTTCCAAAGAATCCAGTGCGTTTGTAGGACACCGGTATCCTGTCCTTAGTGTCAATATTCAACTCTTCTTCAGCAGTTCTCAGCTTCTCCTCAAATTTGTCAATGTTGGCAACCTGCATTCTGTACATGAGCGCCAGCCTCTGCAAAGCAAGAAACATGGCAAGAAATGAAAGGTCAGCATGCACATCTGCTGTAAATTTCAGATGCCACCTTTGTGTGTTTGCATTAAATCATGCACAACATACAGGCCTCCCAAAGATAACTGCTCCAGGATGAAGGTAGATTTCTACAATGTCACTCTCAGGGACGACTTGCACGCGTGACACCTCTCCCTTGGCCAGCATCTCATTGACAAAGTCATTCCAAGAGATGTTGCCACCACTGGTATTAATTGAGTTCAGCAGGCTCATGATGAGCGCTATGATAAAGAGGGTCCGCAGGCGCTCCCGGTACATCTGGTCCTCCTGCTCACGACGTTTCTTCTCCTCTGAAAGGTGAGGCAAATTATGTTAGAAGAAGAGAATTAAAACAATCAGAGAAAGAAGTTAAGATCATAGCCAGGTGTGGAGCGCCCATCAAACAGCTATGTACCAAGCAGCTAAAGCAATTGCTTACCTTCATCTTCCTCTGGAGTTTTTCCCTTTGGTCCATTACTTTCATTTTTCTCTTTTTTAGATTGAGAAGTACTGAAGAAGTTAATTGCGCCTGAAATCAAAGTATTTTTCATCGTAAGTAGCTATAAGTCATAAGTAGCTAAGTAAATTATAAAAGGTCAATAAAACTGAGTGTTTACCTAATAGATTTGCCAAACCAACAGGGTTCCTCAGCAGGTTGCTCCTGATTAACTCTTTGCTCATTCCCACCAAGCCAGGACCCAAGGGTCTGTGGAGAAGACTCTATAATGGGAAAATTGGGACAAAATAGTTGAAAAAGTGGAATTAAAAACAAGTGCTGTATGATGGACATAAAATACAATTCATTTACAACCAAACAGAAGCAGTAAAGAATTATGTCATTTCAGATTTAAAGAACTTCCACAGTAGAATAACACCTTCATCGTTATAATCATCAGACGGAGAAAAAAAACAAGAGTTCACATTTAATTGTGAATGCATGGGCACACCCTTAACACCACTAATAGGTGCCAATGATTGTCACTGTCAGTAGACCACTTCAAGAAAGAGTCACCTTGTGATCCTTACTATTATTTTTTTTTTCTCAGTGGCTAACGGTCAAAACTTAAGTAACATTCTGTATCCATAACTTTTACAAACACATTCAAAACAGATTGATGGCAAATGTCCTGCATTTCTCAGTAACCAAGCTGAATTATATAGACAGTCTTAACAGAATATTTGTGTAAATAGAGAACTGTGTGTTTTGAAAAAAGTGTGGTTTGAAACTGCAATCTGAGTGTAAACCAGGAAATGTGCTTGCATTTTAGCAGGCTTGGTTCAGGTTGGTACATGAATTACAGGTTGTGGTCATTGTGTCACAAGTGCCATTGTTACTGTGTAAAAAAACTGTGAACTGATTTTTAATTTTTTTAAAAATATTTTTCACAAGTAAATTATTATATGCAATGATATAGAAAAATACTATAAAGGATATAAAAGCAAATGTCTGCATGTCTGATTTAATATTGATACATTAACTTTAATACAGTCAATACAGTGAACATATGCTTTTCTTATTGTATTGTAAAATACTGATATAGATGAAAATCATTCAAACTTCTATGATAGAAATTCATCATTTATGTAATGCTCCCTTTAATAGTGTTTTTGTTCCATGTATTATGAGAGACAGTGTATGCTTCCTGAGTGAGAATTGTTGCCAGTGTCGAACGAGCTTATTCTGAGACATGTATGAAGTGTTTTGGTGGTTTGAGTGAGTTTTGGAGATGAGATAAACTGTTTGGCCAAGATTTATGTTGTTAATGCAGACTGAAGAGTTAGTAAAAAGTGTCTTTAGTGTTGACCATGATAGAAATTGGATTGGATGAAAAATCTAATTTCAAGCCCAGGAAGAAAGCTGGCTTTATTTGCCAATAGGTATGTCTAATGGAAATCACTGAAACTTTAGTTTACACTGCAAGGCCAATTGTGTCTATGAGGGGCTCCGGGTATACAGATCACACTTCACATGAGTTTTAACTGTTTTTTTCACGTTTTACTCACACCACTAACAGTTACCACTACCAACCATGATTTCAAGCCACAATTTGGGATTGTATTTAGAAAGGCACTCATCCACCTATCATCTCGGATGTAATTTGTCTTACCTGAATGAGTTTCTGTTGCTCACTTGTCCGTGTCCGCTGTGTGGACAGAAGCCTCTTCCTGACATTAGCGCATCTGGACAGCACATTGTGAACACTGCCGCTGGATATCGGCCTGTTTGCTAAAATATGAGAGTTTTGCCTTGATAGCGTCCACAATAAACCTCTACTGTATTTTCTACAAAGGCCAGCGCGGTGCTGCAACAACAAAGCTGACATAGTGTCTGTTCTCACTGAACGCAGTATAGTCCCTTTACATTTTCCATAGATATCCGTTTTCTATGATATCAAATCTGTGTTTTCTAACGCGTTTGTTTACCTCGAACTGTTACCTCCGTTTAGAGCTAGCTTGCTATCTTATTCAACCGTGCAGCCGAGCAAAGATGTCACCTCGAAATCAACACTGCAAATACGTTATCCAGTCGGAACTTCCTGCACACGGAAAGGGAAGCAAAAACAGTGCGTATATAATTTAAATCTGACTTTATTGTCATTGTGTAATTATCATTGTTGTGGAGACTGTGTTTTATATGTGCTGTAGGTTGAATAATGTAGTTTAGCGCATCTCGTAGCCTTTCGAAAACATCTTTGCCTCGAACTTTGAACTTCAACCTTTCTTTGTGTTCATCAAGGACCTACCAGCTGCGCAGAGGTTTGCGCAGGTTTTATACAACACGATGTAATCTCTGCACTCTCCAGTCTCACATAATATTGCAGCCAAGTATGCAGTAAAGTGTAAATTAGCGTTTTATTGCTGATAATGAATATGTACATTATTACCAGTAACACCCGCACGTCTGCTACACGCGGGGGCGCACAGTCACTGCGCACTCAAGACATAAACATTAGTTTACAATTGCACAAGACGAACGTCTTGTGTTGAGTGACACTCGTGTGGTATAAGGTGTGTTGTGTTATTAAAAACGCATAAATGTGTAATGTATTCCTAGATACACTACATAGTAATGCAAATAATCAAAACAATAGTATTTCACAAAATACTTTATATTTTATAGAATATATTTTCAGTTCACAAGATTTGGCCTACGTGGATTCAGAGAACCTCAGAGAAAAGTATCAGTAACTAAAAGTATTTTTTGTTGCGACCATCGCAGTACTACTCCAGCAGAGTGCGCTATTGGTTGATAGAGTATAGCTCTGGATTCAGTAAACCATAGATCATAGGAACACAGTTAAAAACCTATCACATGTTTTGCGCTAGAGATTCATTGGACCACGTACCAAGCCCAAAGAGTTTGATGGTTTTCATTTCAAAGAATCACCTCAGCAAGTAATTTTAAAACCTCCTCTTATTTACTTGAAATATCACCAGTCAGTGAAATCAGCTGGTGGAGTCTTTTGAAAACATGCAGATCGCTGCTGTAAATAATCAAAGCTATAATGTCATGTCAAGCGACGTGCACAGGTCCGCTTGAGAGACATATTGCTTTACCCAATAAGAGTAGATATTTTTTTTCTTTGAGCCAATGGGAGCCTTCGTTTCATCCTTTCGCGTTTCATTTTGACCACTTGTGCGTTAAGTTTGTTGATCAGCACGTCCCGCTTCCTAGCAAGCTCTGTCTTCTCTGAACCCATCTATGGAAAACAAACCTTAGATCTTGGTAAGCGCCAGAATATGTGGCGAATACGGATGTCCGGGATTATACTTTTATGAGACGTGAGATAGGCAATAGTGCCATTTAATACATCGTTTGTGTGGGTGCCTTAGTTGGCAGCTTAATGAAAAGCTTACAAAAATTCAGTGCATATTTCGCTGTACACGTCATCGTTTGTATTATAAATAACCTATTATTCATAGGTTATTTATATAAACAATGAGTCCCAATAAAGTTTACGGTTCCTCGAAATGTAGAAAACGAGTGCACCAAGTGCCTGTACTCCATTTCCTTTTCTTGGTCTCCAACTATATAATGGAGTGTGGTCTCATGCATTTGAAACTGTGAACTACGTTCAGCCACGTTGGCGCCCTGCTTGCGTTTGTTCTGAAGCGAACAGGATGCCATGTGGATCCAAAATGGCGTCTGTTTCACTGTGTGCGGAAACGGTTACCGCCTACAGCTCCAGCGCCAATCAGGACGCTCGTATCATTCCCGAAGCGTTTCCGCCTTGAGCTTCCACACACCAGAGTCAAAGGCCGCTCGATACCGCTCGAATGGGTTGGCGGAGAGGATTAAACCGAAACAAAATATGATCCTTTGATGGTTTACGTTCACCCAAGCAAGACTACCGTCGTACAAATGGAGTGTGAAGGGTTCGTAGTTTGTGCTGAAGATGAAATAGCTACGCTGTAAACGCGTTTTCGTGGATATTTTATTGTTTTCGTTGGACGTCTGTTTGTTGGTCTACAAGGTTTTAACAAGCTAGTGCTAGCCGCGATTCTAGTGAGCTGCTTTTGAGCCGAGATGGTCGTCGCGAGTTTATGCGGATGTCTCCGGACCAGTCTGTACTGAACCGACGTCAACAAATGGGACCATCCAGCATTGGCCGAAAACATCGCGGCATAGACTAAACATTAAAGATTCAAATAACTTTTTTGAATTTGTGGAAATTCAGACAGAGGTAAGTCGCAATTTACTATTCCTGCAAAGCTAACGCGTTAACAACAACAAACGGGACTATTGCTGCCCCCGTGGTTAACTCGGTTGATGTGTGTTACACAAAGGCCAACTTGCAATATTTTCATTTGTTTAGGTTAAATGAGATTCATGGTTATATATATATATATATATATATATACAATTTACTTTTGTTTTCACTGGAAATCCACAAAGGTTGTTTAGCACGCTGCTCTGCTTCTTGTACACAGACAGCCTTTCTGTCGTTACGCTTAGGTGTTTTTTTTTCTTCTTTTTTATTTGATCAAAATGTATTCATTTCGTGTGTTAACTTACACTTTGAGGTATCGTGAGCCATCTTATTTATTGTCTTATTTTGGTTTAGTAAATCATTGCCCATGCTGGGACTGATGCTGGTGGTGTGTTGTTATTTAAGAATTCAAGTAAAATGTTTTGAGCAAGCAACTAGTCCTGCAGAACTACATAGCAGGCATGCACGTATGCATACTAACAGATAAGCCTTGTGCGTGTGTTTTGGAAGGCTTCTCTTGAGAGCAAAAATTAATTCACTTACACCTCTACAGTAATAATGATAAATCTAGAGTAATATTATGGCGTATATTTGTTCCAATACTCACAGGATTAGCACTAAAGAGCACTTAACAATATCAAAAACAATTATTATTACATTTCTCGTGAGGGGTGATAATCCAAATCATCCAAATATTGACCTATATTTGTTGATCTAAAACAATACTAGCCTACCTGCTGTGCCCAGCGTCATAAATTCCTGTCATGAAGCACTGTGTCTTGTCTAGTTGCTTGTCTATTCCAGCACTAAGGCAAAATGTATGTGCAACAAGCCTGTCTGAAAGGAAAGCAATGAATAAGATTGCCAGAACTACAACCCCTGAAGAAAATTTGAGTGCTTTGTATGGCTATTTAAAGAACAGTTCTTTGCAATGCCCACAGGCAGTCTGGATTTATCAGGAAGTGTCTGTATATAGTTAGTAGTAACAGTGGGTTATATAGATGGATAACTGTCATAATTACCTAAGTTAGTTCAGTGCAGTCAGTGCCTGTGTTTTCTGTATTAAATAACATGTAAAGGAGGGGCACAACATGGTGGGATTTGAGATGAGCTGAAGAGGAAACGAAATATGGAGGAGAAGCTCTCCACTTTGGTGCAGTACCAATGCTGAGGAAAACACTGCAGTGCCGCTGGTGGTGTTTTCCACCAAGATACAGAGAGTGTTTTAGCTTGTTGGGGCGTTCATGTTGACTACACTGCAGAGGCAGTGATGCATATCACTGTCTCCCATGAGCTTGTGTAGGTCCTATTTTTCTGTGTCTGTATAGTTAAATCCTCAAATAAAATGGTTTCACATGCCCTATTCTGTGTGGGATTTAAATATAAACACAGTAGGGTTTTTTCAGGATTCTTAACAAATGTTATATCTAATACATTAATATATATCACTGATGTTTGTTTACATTGTAAATAAAAAGATAACCCCCCTACACACACACACACACACACACACACACACACACACAATAAAGCGGAAGTTTCTCTTCAGCATGAAATGTTATCATTGTGTGTCAGGGTCTGTCAATAAATTTGATAGTTGAATATTTTGTTCTTTGGCATTATAGGCTGTACACATATGTCTGTTATGTAGTGGACACTTGTATACCTTTTTTAATTGTTTTCGTATAATTTACTAGTGTTAAATCCTATTAAGACTATTGCAGCCAGTCCAGGACAGTAGTGGGGACCCATTATGGTGTGCATTCCTCTAAGCTAGGAATGGAGAAATGTCATGCTGCATTTTTCAGTTAATGCAGCACATTGGTTCTATTTATTATTATTATTATTATTATTATTGCAATAATAATAAATAGGAATCTTATTGAGATATTTTAGAATTTTATTTTAAACTATCAACTGTCATAAGAAAGGATAATTGCCATACTTATGTGACACTCTTGAACTTTACATTCTACCTGGTTCCCATTAGTGAGGGCTAGATTATGCCCCCTTTCCTTTAAGTAGTACCAGAGAATTACACCGTGCCCTCTGCCTGCAGGAAATGGAGTTCTGCTGGGGTCAGGAAGGTCATGAGCTGTGTTTTTAGCTTGGGGTTACAGGTTTTGTGCAATAGAAAAGTAAGCAACCTTTCTGTGTTTCTGGTCTTCTACTGCCCAAGGCCCTGATCAGATAGAGAGCACGCATTTTGCAGCAAGAGGTTTCTTTTTCCAGTTTTCTGTAGACAAGAAGCGCTTTGCGTGCTGCTCATGCAGCCTGGGCACCTTATGTTTTTGCAGTAGTGCTTGGGATGACAGAACTTTAACTCAGAAAACTATGTGATGTGATATGCGTTACTCTCATTGTCCATTCAAATCAGATTTTTGAGTTTACTTCACAGCAAAATCAACGTTAGGCTAAGGACAGGTCTGTGGTTGCAGCAAGCTGCTTTTTGAAAAACAAATTGTAGGTGTCCTCTAAAAAGGCAGTGCGGTGTGCCTCAGATTTTGCAGGTTGATCGTGGCCTAACAGTGGCTCTTGTAAGAACATTTGCTGGCACAACAGTTTGTCAACATTTAGGTTGCTTACATATCAGTCTGTTGTGACAGCTGTGCTGTGCACAAAGATGTTGTCGTAAACCTGCCTGATTGTTCTGGGTCTCGTCCTCAATCTTAATTTCTCTTTTTAAAGATGTTTGTTGCCCGTCTGAATCTCTGGTGGTCTACCACATATTTTTGAAGCTGACTGAAAGACAAACACAACTGCTTCATGGCAAAAACACAACAAAAGTAAAAGCGAGAAAACAAGACCCTTTTGTTGTTTGGATGGCGCAACAGTAACGGTTGCGCAGGACAACCTGCTGATCATTATGTCCAGTGTAGCATGATATAGCGTTTCAGCATTGACATCATGATGTGCAATAGTCACACTGCAGGACGTACGATGTTAAGTCAGGCAAATTAACTCAAACACG